AATACAAGCACCGATAGATGCTTGATGTCTGTGTTGCAACATGTCGTAGTTGGACTGGTAAGATAGCTCATCTTTCACTTGATCATGAACAGAATGCCCCGGGGACGCTGGTTATTCATGCTACATCAGTAGGTTTGCATGAAACATGTAAGATGATCTTCTTGTGCTCGGGTATCTCACAGAAGAACCACTGCCAAAAGCAAAATGTGTTTTTTTTTTTTGTTTTTTTTTCTAGAATACTAGGCCATGCAGTTCTATAACTCCATTTCCCTCCTTTCCCCCTTGCCTACATTATCCAGCCTCTTCCTCCTCTCCCACCACCCCTCTCCTGGCGCTGCGCCAGCCTTGCCTTGAATTCCACGCATCTGGTAATTTCTGGGAAACACCCTTGACAGGACTGTCCAGCAAACCACAGGAAACAAAGCCTCTTGGTTTGTGCAGCAGCTTGCAGAAGGCCAGTCGTCGCCTTCAGGGAGGAGCCGGACAGTAGGACAAAGTGGTTGTGGACTTTCTAAGAATTCTTTTTGGATGGGAACATTGTGTAGTTCTTAACAGTTTTTGTGTTTAGAAGACAACTTATTCTTGTTCAGCTTTTTTATGTTGTTGTTGCATTCAAACAATGTTGTTGTCTCTCTTCTCTCATGCTTCCTCTCTTTTTAGATTCGGGACATTAGCAGAATAACTGGTGTTATCAGAGCAGTCAGTGAACAAAAGGGCAGCTTTCAGTGCCTCGTCAGGACAGTAATATCTCCATGGATGTTAATATAATTCAGTTATCTTACAATAAAGCATGCTTTCATTGCTGTGCAAACTTGCCTTGTAAGCAATTGACTGATCGGGTTAAATAAAGGCTACATAAAAAAACGCTCTGGTTCTGACCAGAGGCCATGCTGTGATCATGCTGAATTTTCCTTTGCTAGACTTGTCTTATTCTTTAGACGGCAATTGTAACTAATGCACACATTCAGGGGTTCATTCACGATGCACCCTCAGCTGTCTTTCTCTACTTAAAATTCTTGTGAATGACTCACCCGTGCTCTCAATTTAGATAGTGAGCATCAGACGAAGACCTCAGAAAAGAGGAACAGCACATGGCTTTGTCTTTGTTTCATGAAAATGTTTGACTGACCCGGCTGCAAAGTATTAGCAACTATGTCTTAGTGTAGGTGTTGAAATATTTGAAACGGCAGAGAAGCATAGTTTTAGCTTTATCTTGACAAATCAGCTTGTCAATCATATCAGTTCTCACTCACTGCGAAAGGCAATGAATACACTTTGATGTAGTCTGGCACTTACTGTGCTGTTTTCAGTGATAAGCCTTAGTGTACAATTTAGGATGAAACAAATACAAATCTTGGAAATCACTTCAAACCTATGAATCTGATATTTAGCAGAGAAAATGTGTAAACATAAAAAATGACGAGCCTTATCTAGACAGTATGTCTCGCCAGTAAATGCGTAGATGTTACATCAGTATAAGTAAAAAAAGAGCAGAGATACTCACTCTCCTACTCACTCACTCACTCACTCACTCTTTCTCTCTTTCCGTGAAATAGTTGGCTGCGTATCACCTCTCTGTGATGTCAGTCCCACTGATTCAGTCCAGAGCGCTTCCATCACCACCAGGGGAAAAAAAAAACACACACACACATATCCATTCTTTAAGGTCTGCTTCCACAGAATGAGACACAGTGCCGACATTTATTTACACACATTTATTACTGCTCTCCAGTCACAATACTTGAAATTGGCTGTATAAACTAACTATTACCAACTCGTGGGTAGAGGCTGAAAGTTCACGTCAGACAGTTCTCAAGATAGTTTCTAGTGTCTGTAGGGCCGTAGGTCAAGTTCTTTAGTTTCAAGAGTCAAGTCTCAATTCCCAGCTCTTAATTCTTAATGGTTGGAGGGATGAATATTAATGGTTTAGCTGACCAATGTCTGTGAAATGGTACTCTCCTGTGTTTCCATTCTGTGTTAACACATTTGAATAAACTTGAGAAAAAGGTTAGTCCGGTTGCAGTCATAAATAATAGCAAATATTCCATAAAATCTAAAATATTTTGGATTTATTTAACTAGAAGATATGGATTTGGGTTAGGCCTGCAACTAACGTGGGTTAATCTGCTCATTATATTGTCTTTTATTTGATTAATCATTTGTCTACAAAATATTGTAAAATAGTGAAAAATTATGATTACCCAGAGCCAAAGGAGATGTTTTGGGGTTTTAATTTTGACAAACAATCCAAAACACAAACATATTTAGTTTAACTGTCATATATGATAAGGAAAAGCACTAATTTTCACATTTGAGCAGCTGGAACCACCAGCACATTTACTTAAAAAATGATTACTTATGACAAATCAGTTACAGAGTTCTGTCCATTCACAAACCAATTAATCCACTAATCATTTCAGCTCTACTCCAGATTAAATCTGAATTTAAACCTAAAGCTTTTTTCATTAGTTTGGTTGTGATGCATAATAATCAGCTCATTTGCATTTTTTCTCCCTATTTGTCCTCACTTTGTATTGGTAGGGGAATAAAACATGTGGACAAAACCTAGGTGAAAATCCTTTAACCTGATCTACTACTCTGTTCTTCTCCTTTTTAAAACTCTCAGCATTTTAAAGTGAAAACTGAAAATGATGAGCCTTATCTGTGAAATACAGAGATGACTTTACATGGTCGCTCAGTGGACACACACTGTTATAAAGACATAGGAATTTTTTCTGCCTCTGTGCCTTCTTCAGGCTCCGTCTCCCAGTGTGTCTTCACTTATTTTTTTCTCAGTATCTCTCTTTCTATTACTCTTTGCATTGGCCTTTGTCCATCTTGCTGTCAATTCAATTCCTTTTTTTTTCAAGTTACTATGCTTTATTCTCATGAGTGTAACAGACACAATATTGTCAAATCATCAAGTAATAATGAGAATAAAAAGCAAAAGGTACAATTCATAAAATCAATACGACTGTCATCAACTGTCTGTCAATTCTCTACCTTCTGCCTTTCCTCAGATGCTGAGAGTTTGTGTTTAGTTGATCCAGAGGCTGGTAATCTCCTAATCCTCAGTGGATATCAGCCTTGTCTTTTTTACTACAGATAAAAAGTGGCCTATCTGATAAGTATATTTTCCTCTCTGTCTGTAAAAGGATGCCCTCTCTGTCCAAGCTTTTTTTTTTGGTCCCTTGGATTATTCTGCTGGTATTGATTCGATCTGTCCACATGCACTGGGCTCTTTTAGAGTCTTTTGCATGACATTGTGTCTAGATTGTGAAAATAAAGTCTTGTAATTGAAGATAATCATAATTTCCTCAAAATTAAATTAATCGTTGCGGTGGTACACTGCTCATAACATAGTACATATCGATGCAACAAAAGTAATTATCAATGTGTGTGAGTGTTGCGCTAGAAAATGTAATGAGGTTATCATTGTTTGGAAAGGAGACATCAGCCTCATGTGTTTTTGTGTAATGCTTTCAAGTATAGCAGATGAAATACAAAACTAAACTCATCAAAGTCACGGGTATGTTTTCAGATCTGGAAAATGACAAAATGCAGTTGTATTCAGTGCAGTAATGTCATGGTGTAGTTTCTGGCTGCCGCTTCCTAAACCAAGTTGATTTGCTAATTTTGTGAAAAATGACGCTCCTGAACTTGTGGCCTTAGAATCCCTGAGAGACTCACCAGGACTTATTTATTTCCTCTCAGTGGGTGTGTGGGACGAAAAAGGAGTGGGTTATGTTTTTGCATGGATGCGTTTGATCTTGTTTGCAGAAGTATGAGTGTATCTGCGGTTACTTTGGGCAGACACTCACCAAGAGGACATTTTTGTCATGTTTGTGGTTATGGTCAATCAAAAGAGATAATTTCATCCATTGAAATGATGATTTTACACAGGAAATGGTTTTCCCTTCTCACCCTCAGTCAATGCTTGGATATTGTTGTTCACTGCCTGTAGTGTCTGTTAATATAGCTCTTAGAAGACTGAGGATCATGCAGCCCTTTTATTGAATATATGAAACCATTACCTCCAACCGTGGACTCGCTGTAAACTTTGAATTGGCTCCAAGGTAGGTCAATACTAATCTCAAGGTACAATGGTTGAGGTGTCTCAGTGACAAGTGTCATGACACAAGAATTCTTTTTTAAGATGTAATTAATGATATATATTCTGTGTATTGTATCATTGAGTTTTTAGTGGGGAAAAGTTGTGCATTGAAATAAAATATTCCCAAATTAAAAGGACAGCTGACTGCATATCGTCTTTTTTGACCCTATAGTGAAAGACAAATTCACTAATTTTGTACCACATCCTAATGACTATTATGATCTAATTCATGCTTATACAGTACATTCCAAATAAAAAATATAGCTTTTGCTTATCTAATCCATGTGATTGATTGATTGATTGTACGTTTTTACAACAAAGGAGCTACACGATGGAATGGACAATAGTAAAATACATTCATTGGCAAGAAGATGGTCCACAACAGTTTAAAGAAAGTGTAGACATTGCCTCAAAATATACATACTCACAGGTTCTAAAAAGTTGCAAAAAAAAGTGTTTTACTCATTGCGACTGGTTTTGAGATTAAATCAACCTGACTTGTTAAGAGATCATGTTTGTTTGAGGACACATTGTGTTCCCGGCCGTAGCTCCGTGTGCAGCCAGTAGGGGGAATCGACTGCTCACACTGAAGCCATCCCCCTCTCGTCTCCACTCCTCTCCTCCTTTTCCCTGCGTTCTCCCAGGTTGTGGAAACGCTGCAGCCCGCTGGTCTGTGTCTGGGTCCCTCTCTCGCACAGAGCTGCTCAAGACCCTCCTACCGGCTGGGCTGGGGAAGGAGGAGGCAGTCTGCTCTGCTCACAGCCTCGGACGAGCCCCCTTTACCACCCTGTCAGTGTGGAGGAGAAGGGAGAGAGAGAGAGAGAGAGAGAGAGAGAGAGAGAGAGAGAGGCTGAGAGACTGAGTGATAGAGAAAGTGCACGCGAGAGAGAAAGAGAGAGAGCGAGCAACTGTGTGACAGAGGGAAACGAGGCAGGCTGCTTAGAGGAGTGAGAGAGCCAAGGACGAAATAAGGAACACATTTTACAAGAGCAGGAAGAGGGAGGATCGCAGACGAGGGACTCCTTCTGTACTGGACACCTGGGACACAGTCACATTGATTGTTTTTTTCACTCGTCTTCTAGCTGGAACCAAGTGGATTGACTAACCAACTGGTGGATATTTTTAAAAATACGCTTCATCTGTCCTCTTGCTGGTTAAGACCGCTGCAGACTGAGATTGCTTACTGGTTCTGTGCTTGACTCTCATTTTATGATTCTGCTCTGTGCACAAAGTGCATCTGTCGGCAACCGGTGTTGAGACATCTCCCCTCTGTCAAGCAGGAGAGCACGCAGCTACCGTCGGATCAGACTACAGAGAAGAGAGAGAGAGAGCGAGAGAGAGACAGTGTGTGTATTTAAGAGTGGGAAAGAGAGCGAGAGGGGCAGTGAGAGAGAGTTAGATTCAGAGTGTTTTGAGAGCGAGGCAGATTAAAGCGCAGCCGAAAGACTGGAGTGAAACAGCTTAAATAGAGAAGTGAACCTATACGTCCTCTCCCGTTTTCCTCGCCATCCCTTTTCCTCCTCCTCTCCTCCTCCTCCTCCCATTTTCCAACATTCACAGGACTACCAGAGCTACTGCCACCTGCACCTCTTCACGTCTTCTCTTTCCTCTTCTTCCTCTACCTCACCCTTATCACGTGGTACTATCCAATACCAGCCATTAACGGACACGCTGCTCTCGGTTCAAGCAGTTGTGGAAATATTTCCATTGATCCAGCAGTGAGAGTCTAAGTGAGCATCCGCCCAATACTGAGGCTCCTGACCGTTCGTCAGGAGCTTCCCCATCAGAGGCAGACCTTCTCCCAGCTGCTGTCCGGCACGCAGATCCTGCCTTCTCCCCGGGAGGACTGGCCAGCAACACAGTGGTGCGGGCAGCGAAGACAGGAATCCCACAGTCCCTCCGTTGCCTCTATCCCATTGCTAGCTACTTGGCAGCTCCCGCCCCCGTGTCACCATTCCCTGCCTCAGTGCTAAGGATTCCAGCTACATGGGCAAGCGATTGGAGCAGCAGCCAATGTACCCTCAGTACACCTACTACTACCCCCACTATCTCCAGACCAAGGTACGCCACTCTTCTGCTGTTCATGCATTCCTCAAGCCTACTCATCTACTCCTACACCCCCCCCCCCCCCCACCCCCCCAACCCCCCACCCCTCCCGCCCACACCTCTCACTCTCTTCCACCGCCCTCCCTTCATCCCCCTCTCATCCCTGAGTGGAGATGGGATATGATGGAAAGCTGGCCTTGGCTGTGATGGTTTCAGTTGTCAGGTACCTGGTTGGAGTTTGGATGTCTGTATTAGTGTGGATGTGTGTGTCTGATTGTGTGTGTGTGCCTGAGTGAAGGATCAGGGATCAAGGCTGTAGACTTCGGGCGACTGTTAGTCCAGCCTAATAAACCGTTACTGGGAGCTGTCCAGTAGCATCCATCCATCCCTCACCTGCAGACTGATGGACTCTTGATGTGAAACACCGCAATGGTATGAAGTGTAACACGTTTAGTAACATGTACAGTAGATTCAGAGGCTTTTGTTAATCCAAATAACTGACAGATGGCTCTTTTTGACCTGTCAGTCACACATTTAACAAATGAGAGAATTAGGATCAGAGTTTAATTTACTAATGAACTATTTGCAAGCTAAATGTAGGCCATTGTTTAAATGATTTAGTGCCACTTTTCTAAAGAAGCAAATTAAACATTTAATTATGAAGTTGCTAATTCACTAAATGGCACTAATCCCTAATTGTATTGCTTTACAACGAAGGGAGAAACAGGTTATGAACTCTTCTTTCTCTATGGTGATGGTATGGTCAGACAGAGCAGGCATGAGTAAGGCTGCCCATGTTTGCTCTAGCTGTAGTATGCATCACTGCCTCTGGGTTGGAAGCCCAGTCCTGGGCCCTGATGGCGGCCAGGACGCTGGCTGGGTGCACTACCCAGACATCATCAAGGGATTAAAATGGAAGCCTTTTGGGGATTACTATTATTTGTTTTTCTACTACATGCGTTGTGTCACTGTGATGCACAGCAATGGCTGAACATCATATTGAGGGTGTGCAGTTGAACTTATAATATATTTTAGTATCAGTTGTTTACCAAAGTACTATTGTATGTGGTATTATTACTTTAAACACAACAGAAATACATTTTTATATATTTAATTAACTTTTTAATGTGGTGCTCTAACATGAATATTAAATATATCCTATTGCATGCCTAGAGTAATGTGGGCCTGAGTATCAAACCCTAATACTTTTTGCATATCGACCCATGTGTTCTTAGTTCAGTATTGTATCGGAAATTGGCATTGAGTGACTGGACAGATTTTTTTTAAATTCTTCAATCAAATATTTAGTGATATCTATTGGGAAACTTTTTCAGCTTCAGTTTTGTATTTAAAACTTAAGCATTGAGGGATAAAAACAATATTTATTTTCCCCATTCGGAAGGTATCGAAAAAATTTATTGTTTTGATATTAATTACAAAACTCAGCTGTTTTATTGGCAGCACTGTTGAACGATACTCACCCCGAGGAATACAAATTAAAATGTGGCGTGTTTTCCCTATTTGTAACAAGGAAATAAAGTAGAAAGACGATTTGTTGAGGCAATTAATGAATCAAAATAATTGATAAAGCACAATAACGAGAAATAGCAGTCATGTTTTTTATCCTTTTCCATGTGTAAGGAGTAGGTACAGTTTATTTAATATAGCACCTTTCACAGAGCAAGGTCACAAAGTGCTTTACAAGAGTGTGGAGCTCTGTTGTGAACCAATGCACTTCCAGCAGGGAGGACCTGCCTGCAGCCCCACCTGGCAGTCCACTAGCGCTCCCCCTGATTTATAGTTTAATACATTTGTGCTGCTGCCATATGGCTTCCCCCTACCTCCCACCCCCCTCCACTACTCCTTCCATCATCCCGCCTCTCCCTCCCTCCCCCTTCTCATATCTCAGAGTTGCTCATCTCGGGGCCTCTCAATCAGGGTATGCCCCTCCATTCTCCCCTCCCTTCCACTTTTCTTTTCCCCTCTTCCTCCCTCCCCTTGCATTCTGCCTCCCATCCCTGTTGCAACAGGGCCCCCTGCCTCCTTCGCCTATGCTGCAGTTCACTCCCAAGGTCAGCACAGATCCGATCTTGCCACCGTCAGCGATTGATTTATCCTTGAGCAAGCCACTAGGGTCCTGTGTCATGCAAACGAGACCGATGGTGGGGGCGAGAGGAGCATACATTTACGTTTATAAATGAGCAGCCAACATTCACATTCATTTTCATGGTTAGTTAGCATTGCCAGTGGCTCCTTGTTTGATATGATAGAGCCACAGACAGGGTCAGTAAGAGAAAGGGAGTATTGGGCAGTGTGGCCGAAAGGGATGTGGAGAGCTATCTCACGCTCTCGTTAATGATCATTGATAGTCCGATTACAGAGGAAGAAGGGTCCTGGCTGGCGGGTTCAGTCCACACAGTCTACAAAATAACAAAGTCACTTTGGCCTTGCGTGCGCACACACATATACACACATTTCCTGCACACATACATGCAGCTCAGATTCAGGAATCATTCTCAAATCACACAGGTCTTTTTATCCATCTTCATTGCTGCATTCTCACGGTATTGTCTCATTCTCCCAAGAGATGTGGGTAGGGGGCATCAATATCATGTTGGGAGGGGGAGTGGGGCGTAACTCATACCATAGTGTTGCCATTTTCCTTCTCTCGCCTCCATTTTATGATGCATATTTGGAATTCTATGCATAGAAAATTTATAGAACATCTGTGCTCGGTTACAACTAAGGACTTTATAGTAAAGAAAGGAGCTAACCTTGTCCTAATGGCGTGGCAGAATTTGGGGCCCCTTTATCCCCTCTGTGTGTGTGTGTTTGTAATATATTCTAATTTAATGGAGTTCTCTGATGCTGTCCAGCATGTGCTAGTCAGCCCAGATTAGAATGTGAAAGTCAGAGAATGAGATGAAACAATAACATTTGGCTTTCTATTGATTAGTGCAGTGGGGCGTAGCATGTGCTTCTCTTTAGCTGAATTATTGATTCCTGAAAGAGGATTTGTGCGTCTGTGTGTCTGTGTGTGCACATCCGTGTGTGTGTGTGTGTGTGTGTGGCTTTTATATGAGGTTATGGCTGGGGGGAGCTGGCGGGATGCTGCTTTGATGAGAGGATCCTTTAAAGGCCCTATTTCGGTCTATTCCCCAGCTGATCAGTCCATGGAGTCATTTGCTAAAATTTGGGCTTTATTCAGCCTGTGTCTTTCCTGGCGAGTTTGATGTTTAGTACTGTTCACAGTTTGCTGTACATTCAACTTTAATGATAGATAATAGATGGCCATCATAAATGCAAAAATTACAGTAAACTGCCTCGCTCAGGCCCTCACCCTCCCCTTACCCATAAGAACAATTACACCGCACAGATCAATTATTGTTATTTCATGATAGTGTTTTGGAAAGAATATGAATTTCAACTAAATGTGTACGCGCAGTGCCTCTCAGTATTGTCGTGCGTCATATCTCATTTTCTCTGTGACAGGCATTTTCAGTTCTATGTTTCATTAATACGCACACAACTCTCAAAAGGAACTCTCAAATTACTGATAATTTGCTTTTAGTACCTGCTGTAAATTCTGCCTCTGGTATCGAATTTAGTTGGCTTTATTGTTGCTGTTACTGTATGCACACAAGGTACCTGAGACTTCTGTAACCTTGTGCTGTTACACCACTGAGAGCCTAGGTCATTACATGCCTAATGTTAGCAATCTCACCCACAGGCAAACAGCCCACTGACACACAAGGATGCATTATAAAAGTATATGCACAAGCACGCACACATGCGCTTGCGCTGTGGCTGGGTTCTAGGATCAGGCAGGCATCTGTGTTACAGTCAGACTAGCACATATAGAACCCGAGAAACCAACAGGGGCAGATTGAGGTAGATTTAGCAGCGGCTAATGTCCCTGGCAGTAAAGTAAACACCAGTCGATGGAGCCCTTTGAGAGGATCTCTGTCTGCCTCTGTCATAGGCACCATTTATACTTTAGAAATTCTTTAGAAATGGACAAAGAGATTGAGGAAAGGGGTATATGTATGTGTGAGAGACAGAAAGAGATTGGAAGATAGGGTGGAAGGGAGGGAGGGGCCAGATATAAGCAAGGAAAAGGGCTTGGTTACATTACATGGGGTGATACATTGTGCTACAGAAATAATAACGGCCATCTAAATCCCCCTTTAATGCCCTGATAGAGGAGAAAGAGAAGCATAGAGACAACAAGCGAGACAGATATGCATAGACATGGAGAGCAAGCAAAATCAAAGGCAGAAAAAAAGGACCATCTTCTAAGTCTTTCAGTGAAAGACTGTTATCAGTGGCGTAAAACTCAGCTAGCAGCTTAGTCCCCTCTGTCTTCGCTGATGTGGATCTGCTTTGAAGAGTTTATCAAGGGCTTTTAGGGCTGGCAAAATACACTTATTATATTACATTTACTGTGACAATATGGTCTTATTAGTAATAAGACAGGAGTAGTATAACTCATTTTCCTACTTAATTCTTGATACATGCCTCACGATTGACTGACGGAAACAACACACTGCACCTGCCTCGCTGTAAATCTTGACCCATCATGCGTTCTCTCTTAGCCAGCTCATATCGGCAGGCTTTTAAGCAAGAGCTCTATCTTGCTTTCTCTCTTTTTTCAAGCTTTCCCAGTCCTTCACCTCACATGGTCAAACCATTAAAGGAGGCTTTTTGATCATTAATCAACTAATACTTTTTTTATCTGCCTATGCCTATGGCTTTTTCCAGCAGTACTATTCCTCTATGTGTAACGGTCAGTCAACAGGGCAAACAACTTCATTTATTTACTATGGCCTGTGTGTACATGCACAAACACGCACAAACAAAAGCGCATACTACATTAAGGCGTGCACTTAACCCTTCTCATCTATCAACTGACAGCTCAGGCCTGTCTGCACACCCATACATTAAGGTTGTGTGTGCATTTCTGCTTCCCGTAGCCTCTGATAAGCCACAGAGTATAGTGCTAAGACCTCTTTTAC